CACAGAAATACAAAAGATCGTTAACAGCTACTATGAACAATTATATGGCAATGAATTCGACAATCTAAGTGAAATGGACAAATTTCTAGAAACACATAGTCTCTCAAAACTGGACCGGGAAGAGATAGAAAACTTGAACCGACCAATAACAACTAAGGAAATTGAAGAGGTAATCAAGACTCTCCCAGCAAACAAAAGCCCAGGCCCAGATGGCTTCATGGGGGAGTTTTACCAAACATTCAAAAAAGAACTAACACCCATTCTCCTAAAACTATTTCAAAAAATTCAAGAAGAAGGAAGACTTCCAAACTCGTTTTATGAGGCCAGCATAATTCTAATTCCAAAACCAGAAAAAGACACTACAAAGAAAGAAAACTACAGGCCAATATCCCTGATGAACATAGATGCCAAAATTCTGAACAAAATACTAGCAAATTGGATACAGCAATACATCAAAAAAATTATTCACCATGACCAAGTAGGATTTATCCCAGAGATGCAAGGCTGCTACAATATTCGCAAATCAATATATGTGATACACCACATAAACAAAATGAATAAAAACCACATGATCATATCAATAGATGCTGAAAAAGCATTTGACAAAATCCAGCATCCATTTCTGATAAAAACGCTCAGCAGTGTGGGAATAGAGGGATCATATCTCAACATAATACAGGCCATATAGGAAAGACCTACAGCCAAAATCATACTCAATGGGCAGAAACTAAAAACATTTCCCTTCAGAACAGGAACAAGACAGGGATGTCCACTGTCACCACTCTTATTTAACATTGTACTGGAGTCTTAGCCACAGCAATCACACAGGAAGAAAAAATAAAAGGGATCCTAATTGGAAAGGAGGAAGTAAAACTGTCATTATTTGCAGATAACATGATATTATACATAGAAAACCCTAAAGACTCCATCAAAAATATAGACTAAATAAATGAATTTGGCAAAGTAGCAGGATACAAAATTAACGTCATGAAATCGATGGCAATCTTATACACCAATGATGAACTCACAGAAAGAGAAACAAAGAAAGTAATCCCATTTACCATCATGGCAAAAAAATTAAGACACCAAGGAATAAACTTAACCAAAGAAGTAAAGAACCTATTTGCAGAAAACTACAGGACATTGAAAAAAGAAATAGAGGAAGATATAAAAAAGTAGAAGCACATACCTTGTTCATGGATTGGAAGTATTAACATCATTAAAATGTCCATACTACCCAAAGCAATCTATAGATTCAATGCAATCCCCATCAAAATACCAATGACATATTTCACAGAACTAGAACAAATATTTCAAAAGTTCATATGGAACCTAAAAAGACCCTGAATAGCCACAGCAGTTTTGAAAAAGAAGGACAAAGTAGGTGGGATCACAATACCAGATATCAGGTTATACTACAAAGTGACTGTAATCAAAACAGCCTGGTACTGGCACAAGAACAGGCATATAGACCAGTGAAACAGAATAGAGAACCTAGAAATGGACCCAAGGCAATATGCTCAATTAATATTTGACAAAGGTGGCACGAGCATACAGTGAAGTAAGGACAGCCTGTTTAATAAATGGTGTTGGGAAAATTGGACAGCTACATGCAAAAAAATGAAACTAGACCATCAAATTACACCATGCACAAAAATAAACTCAAAATGGATAAAAGACTTAAATGTGACCCGTGAATCCATAAAAATCCTAGAAGAAAATGTAGGCAACAAAATTTCGGACATCATACGCAGCAGAATCTTCATTGATACATCACCTAAGGCAACAGAAACAAAGGAAAAAATGAACACATGGACTACATCAAACTAAAAAGCTTCTGCACAGCAAAAGAAATAACCATTAAAATGGAAAGGCAACCCACTATGGGAGAATATCATTGCCAATGATACATTAGATAAGGGGTTAATTTCCAAAATATATAGAGTACTCATACAACTCAACAAAAGAAAGACAAAGAACCCAATTAAAAAATGGGCAGAAGAGCTGAATAGACACCTCTCCAAACAGAACATACAAATGGCCAAGAGACATATGAAGAAATGCTCAACATCACTAATCATCAGAGAAATGCAAATTAAAACAACAATGAGGTATCACCTCACACCTGTCAGAATGGTCACCATCAACAAATCATCAAACAACAAGTGTTGGCGAGGGTGTGAAGAAAAGGGGACTCTAGTGCACTGCTGGTGGGAATGCAGACTGGTGCAGCCGCTATGGAAAACAATATGGTGTTACCTCAAAAAATTAAAAATTGAAACTCCAGTTGACCCAGTGATCCCACTTCTAGGAATATACCCTAATAAGCCTGAAACACCAATCAGAAAGAATATATGTACCCCCATGTTTATAGCAGCACTATTTAGAATAGCTAAGATCTGGAAACAACCCAAGTGTCCATCAGTAGACGAATGGATAAAAAAGCTGTGGTACATATACACAATGGAGTACTATGCAACTGTAAGAAAGAAAGATCTCTTATCCTTTGAGACGACGTGGAGGGACTTGGAAAGTATTATCCTAAGTGAAACAAGCCAAGCAGAAAAAGACAAATACCACATGATCTCACTTATATATGGAATATAATAAATATAACAGTCTGAGGAATAGGGTAGACCCAGAAACACGGATGTAGGGTACAGACTGACAACCCTCAGAAGAGGGGGTGGTAGAGGGTGGGAAGAGATAAACCACAGAACTTATATGCATGTATGCATAACCAATGGACATGGACAACAAAGCTGGGGACGGGGTGGGGAGGATGGGGAGGAGGGTGTCAATGGGGTAAAAAAGGAGAAACATCTTAACAAAAATAAAATGAAAAAAATTAAAAAATAAAAAATAAATAAAAAAGCAAAAAGATAACCTTTAAGGTACCATGCAGGAAGCTGTCACTCTTAGGGAAGAGGCTGAAATTGTTCAATATCAGAAGCCTTTAGAGACCCTGGAGAGCTGAAACCCAAGACCCCTGATACAGTTAATCCATGTCCGAGCTGAATGGGAGTGTCCTACAGGTCAGAGTACTGGGTAGAAATCTGAGGAAGGAGCACCGAGTAGTTGGTGTCAATGACTGTTACTGAAACACCAGCCTCTGCTGGAGTGAAGAGGTGTTTTGGGGAAAGCAAAGCAGCAGCAGCAGACAGAAAGGACCAAGCCCCTGCTTCCTCCTTTAGCCTGGCCATCCCTCTGGGCCTCTATTGGCCAATCCCGATAAGGAGCTGGCAGAGGACAAATGGGACCTGCTAAGTCCCAGCCCAGCATCAAAAGCTGTATAGAAGGGCGAGTAGGAGTCTGAGAACAAGGTTACTATCCGCCAGTCTCTCCTCTCAGCAAGCATATGCATGCACTACTTCACGTAATTAAACTTCCCGTAAGAAAAACTAAAAAAAAAAAGTTTTTATTGATGTTTTTAGAGAGGGAGAGAGAGAAACATTGACTGGCTGCCTCCTGCATGCCCCCTACTGGGGATCGTGCCCTGACCAGGAATTGAACTGGGACCTTACTGGCTGGCAGGAAAAACAACTCTTTACTGGCAAAGTTAACCCTCTAAATCCCATATACAATAAGAAAAATTAGAAGAAATTAGTACACACACACCAAAGAAGAAATTATGCATAACTGCTCAGTAACTTGTCATTAATTGGTCACAGGCTGTAGTTAGTAAGCTTCCTTCTTCCTCTTCATATTCCAGGCTTCCTCTTCCCTGAGCCAGGATCTCAGACGCTCAGCACTTATATCTCGTAGGGTGACCCAAAACTTCATTGCCTAAAGGGTCTAAATCATTCCTGCTTCTGAGATGGTTTGTCACTGGACACGGAAGTGCTACAAGATGCCCCTGGGGAAGTTCCAGGTATCATTCTGCATCACCCACTGGGTAGGAACAGCCCAAAAGGCCCTTTGTTCTCCTGTCCCAGCCAGGACAGTAAACTCCTTTCCTACTGGTTTAGTGGCAAAATGGCCCGACTGTTTCAATCTCTGCCTTAACACCGTTGTTCCCTGGTGGGAGCGCTCCTGCCTTGTGAACTCAGACCTCCAAACGGAGCTCAAAACCGAGGGACAGAAAGCAGAACATTTGTGAGGGTGCTACTGGGTACAAGTGAGAGGAGCCACTTTCTCTGCCTCTGCTTGATTCCAGACCATATATTCTGACTACGATGAGATCAACAGCCCCATTGTGGTCACTGATTCAAAGCATAAATTACATTTTGTAAGACGGGAGTTTTGTACTCCACCTGGGGCTATAACTGAGTCTTAAATAGACCATTCCACTCTACCTGCTGCCCCTGCGTGTGAAGTGTGGGCTGAGAGCAGTGAATTCCGAGGCACAAGCCCATCGCCCTACTTCCTTTCCTGTGAGATAGGTTCATCTATCAAAAGCGATGCTGTGCAGAATGAGGGGGAATACGACACTCCCATAAATTAGTGGCCCGTGGTGCTGGCAAAGCACGGAGCAGGATTTCTGGCGTCTGCCTCAGGATGCAGAGAGCTGGGTGCACTGCACTCACCTTCACGATGAAAACAGCCAGCTTAGCTCCAAAGCCACGCCTTTTCACCACAGCTCAACACAGAGCCGGCCACGGGCAATACAAACGTAAGGAGATTCAGAGAGAGAGGAGACACACACCTCATTTAGTTGCTAGGAACAAAATGAAATGAAGTCCTGGGTACATGTTTCCAGACAGACGGACAGAAACACATACATACACTAAATTCCACAGGCTTCTGTACTTACTATTTAGAATAAGGTTCAGACTAGATGATCTGGTGGGTGGGAAATTCTACTAAGGTACACTATAAGAAACTGGTGATCGGTTTTGACCCATAGAAGTCAATTTCTATGGTTCAATCTCATATACCATCATGTCTAAATTAGTGGCTGGTTTTGAAAGTTCCAATACTGAATTAGACTAAAATTATTATTTGAAAGTATAAGAGAAGAAAAAAGGTCCATAAAAACATGTTTATTACAGAACATTTAAAAAAATTAATTAAAAGCGTTAAACTCAAAACTGTAATTCCACAAACTGACTGATTTGGTAGCATGCAAATACTTTAAGCCAGAGAGGCAGGTATGTTTGTTCTTGATGAATTTACATATAATAAATTCTTATGATATTTGATTCCAAAATGTATAAATTGGCTTGACATTATTAATAATTTAAAGTAAAATGTAAACATAAGGACAATTTAAACACTGGTATTAATTTAGGAGTCAATTTAAAGTCAGTGACAAGAGTGATATATTAAAATAAAATCTGGGGCCAAAAAATATTTAGGAAGCAACCATCTACCTTTGTACATTTGAAGATCAAGGGCTAAAAATCCACTTTTGATGAATACCATTATGCAAAGGATGTATAACATCCATCATACATCTGTTATGAAAACAGCATGTTTCCAAAATTATACATTTCTTTACAAATAAACATTATACTATTAATAACTATAGAGAAACCATTGGAATGAGTCCCAAAATATGTCAGCTCTCACAAGGCATCCCTGAGACATATCTTAAGGCATCCCTTTTAATCTTGGGGCTTCAGGAACATCTTCTTTACTTTAATTGGTTTCATGTCTCCATTTTCATCTTCCTCATAATTGGCACGATCTCTTTTTTTGGCAAACTTTTTTCCAATTGTCCCCACCAAGGTCTCGTATCTGTTAAGATGATAAATAGCGCACATTTAATTCCAAATAAAAAAGGTAGGAATCAAGTCTTGTCAAGATGCAACAAATAAGAAAAATCAAAACTATAATTAAAACAAGCCATCTAAATCAGGGACATCTGTAATACTGTCAACAATAAAAATATATTTAAAAAATAATATAAAATAAGCCATCTAATTTAAAAACGTATAAACATGTCTAAGAAGGATTACATTACCCAGTTTTTGTATCATCCTAAGCAAACTGAAATGTACATTTAAAATATATATTGGAAGCAGCACTGGAAATCCCTCAACTGCCTGCCCGTGACAGGTGTGAGTCCACCCTGGGCCAGGTTAGGGAAGCAGAAACAGTCCTCTCCCTGCTGGGGTAGAGGTGAGGTCAGAGGAGTGCACACGTGACAGGTGTGAGTCCACCCTGGGCCATGTTAGGGAAGCAGAAACAGTCCTCCCCCTGCTGGGGTAGAGGTGAGGTCAGAGGAGTGCACACGTGACAGGTGTGAGTCCACCCTGGGCCATGTTAGGGAAGCAGAAACAGTCCTCCCCCTGCTGGGGTAGAGGTGAGGTCAGAGGAGTGCACACGTGACAGGTGTGAGTCCACCCTGGGCCATGTTAGGAAAGCAGAAACAGTCCTCTCCCTGCTGGGGTAGAGGTGAGGTCAGAGGAGTGCACACGTGACAGGTGTGAGTCCACCCCGGGCCATGTTAGGGAAGCAGAAACAGTCCTCTCCCTGCTGGGGTAGAGGTGAGGTAAGAGGAGTGCACACGTGACAGGTGTGAGTCCACCCCGGGCCATGTTAGGGAAGCAGAAACAGTCCTCTCCCTGCTGGGGTGGAGGTGAGGTCAGAGGAGTGCACATGTAACAGCCCCACCACAAAGCAGTTTCAAAGTACCTTCTAGCCATTTCTTCATCTGACACATCCAGCTCCACCGTTTCATCTTCGACTTCTTCTGCTTTGTTTTTAGCATTCATCTGAACCATTAATTTCTGAAAAATACACCAACACTGGCTATCAGGGCTGAAAAAGGCTTGTGATAGGAAATGATGGCAAACATATTTGAAGGAAGAGAAACAGAAGTCAGAAACTACAGGACTAGCCAAATTTATAGAGTTCTCTGTAATACTTTACTCCACAATGTGCTAACACAGTCAGTTTTAAATTAAAAACATAATAAGATAAAGCCCCACTAGATTAGACTTGTTATTAATTAAACTGTATGCTGGATCATACATCTTATTATCAGTTACTTATAGCTAAAGCAGACACACTGCTACACCAATGTGTGGCGGTTAAAAACTGGGAGGGGTATCTCGGCGGCAGGGGTCCCACCCGAGGAGTAAAGGGTCCCAGCCCCACACCATGCCCCCAGCCCCACGGTTCCAGTGCCAGGAAGAGCAGTCCTCATAACTTCTGGCTGTGAAAACCAGCAGAAACCGTGGCTGAGTGAGATGAAGGGCTGCTAGAGTCCCAGGTGTTTCTCTTAAAGTGCCCGCACAAGGACTTATTCGGACTCACTCACCCTGAGCTCCAGCTCTGGGGCAGTAGCTTGAAAGGCTCCAGGGACACACGAGGAGGAAACTGAATGTCTGGTATCAGGATGAGGGCCGGAGGGGCAAGTTATCCCAGACAGAAGTGCTGGCAGAGGCCGCTGCTTCTTTGTTGAGCCCTCCCCTCAACAGAATGACCAGCAGGCACCATATCTGAGTCCATCAACCTGGCTAACACTGTTCTTCCCACCCTGATGATTCTGAAACCCTGCCTCACCCAAGGTGGGCTCACTCAAGCTGTTTCCATTGGCTTTTCCGTACAAACGGCCTGTCTTGGCTCATGCTGTGGACTTTCCTAAAATCTTTCAAACAAGCAACATCTGGCTAAGTGGCCCCAGGCCTGGTACTAGCAGCGGCTGGCCTTGGTTTGCAGCTTGACCTCTTCTGGGCAGGTTTGAAGCTCAGCACAAATAGCACCCTCTGCAGATTGCTCTGTAGTCCATGCTGTGGCCCCAGGCAGGGCACAGGCAGCTGTTGACCCTGCCTGTACTTCCTGGGAGGCCTCAGAGTCAGTGCACCTGGTGGACAGCTTTCAGACCACACTGGATTACAGCCTAACCACCTTCATGAGCGACACACTCAAGACCTGCCAAAGAGAGTCCTGCTTTGTGGGGTCCACCCCTGCACAGCAGACTCTCCATGGTGGTCTTGGTCAGTCCTTGAAGCCAAACGACCTGGGGGTAAAGCCCTCTCATTGATGTGCTAACAGTAATCAGTGATCAACTACAACAGGAGGATGCACATAGCCCACATGAGGGGCACAGCTGGAGTGCTCAGCTCAGATGACTGGGGAGGCTGCAGCACTGGGCCCTGAAGGACACCTACTACATAAGGCCACTCCACCAAGACTGGGAGATGCAGCAGGTCTACCTAATACACAGAAACAAACACAGGGAGGCAGCTAAAACGAGGAGACAAAGAAACATGTCCCAAATGAGAGAACAGAACAAAACTCCAGAAAAAGAACTAAATAAAATGGAGTCAAGCCATCTACCAGATGCAGAGTTTATTTTTTCTTTATTGATTTTAGAGAGAGAGGAAGGGAGAGGGAGAGATAGAAACATCACTGAGAGAGAACACTGACTGGCTGCCTCCTGTATGTTTACCCCTCCCCCACCCCAGGGATTGGGCCCACAACCTGGACATGTGCCCTGACTGGGAATCAAACCGGCGACCTCTTGGGGCATGGGTTGATGCTCAACCTCTGAACCACCCTGGCCAGGCCAGATGCAGAGTTTAAAACACTGGTTATAAGGATGATCAATGAACTTTGGGAAGAGCAGATAAACTTAGTTACAACTTCAACAGAGAAGTAGAAAACATGAAAATGAAGAGAAAACAAAAGAACCAATCAGAAACAAAGACTATAATAACTAAAATGAAGATTACATTACAGGGAATCAACAGTAGAGCAGATGAGGAAGAGGATCAAATCAGCTATTTGGAAGAAAGCAGAAAACACCCAATCAGAATGGCAAAAAGAAAAAAGAATAAAAAAAAAAAAATTAGGCCCTGGCTGGTTTTGTTCAGCGGTTAGAGCATCGGCCTGTGATCCAGAGAGACCCAGGTTTGGTTCCCGCTAAGGGCACGTACCTCGGTTGCAGTTTGTCCCCGGCCCTGGTTGGTCGTGTGGGTGGTAGCCACGCGATGTGTCCCTTTCACATCGATGTTTCTCTCTCGCGCTCTCTCTCTCCCACTCTATCTGAACAAAAAATGTCCTCAGGTGAGGATTAACAAAAAAAGAAAAAAAAAGAGGATAGTATAAGGAGCCTCTGGGACAACTTGAAGTGTACCAACATTTGCATCATGGGGGTGGATGTCAGAGACAGCAAGGAATTGAAAAACCCATTTGAAAAAAATGACAGAAATTTACCTAACCTGGTGAAGGAAAAAAGATACACAAGTCCAGGAAGTGCAGAGAGTCCCAAACAAGATGAACCCAAAATAGCCCACACACCAAGACACAACATAATTAAAATGCCAAGCCTAAAGACAAAGAGAATTTTTTGTTAAATCCTCACCTGAGGATATTTTTCCATTAATTTTCAGATTGAGTAGGAGGGAAGGAAGGGGAGAGAGAGAGAAACATTGAAGTGAGAGAGACACATCAATTGGCTGCCTCCCGCACGACCCCAACCAGGGCCAGGGATTGAACCTCAACCGAGGTATGTGCCCTTGATTGGAATCAAACCCATGACTCTGGTCCATGGACCAATGCTCTAACCACTGAGCAAAACTGGACAGGGCTAAAGAGAGAATCATAAAAGCATCAAGAGAAAAGCAGTTAGTTACCCACAAAGGAGCTCCCATAAGACTGTCAGCTTATTTCTCAATAGAAACTTTGCAGGCCAGTAAGGAATGGCACAAAATATTCTAAATGATGAAAAGCAAGGACCTACAACCAAAATTACTCCACCCAACACTGCTATCATTGAGAATTGAAGGACAGATAAAGAGCTTCCCAGACAAAAAAAAGCTAAAAAAGTTCATCACTACCACACCAGTATTAGAAGAAAAAGAACAAGAAGAAAAGGATAAAAAAATATAAATATTAAAATGGCAATAAATATTACATTTTTATCAATAATTACTTTAAATGCAAATGGATTAAGTGCTCCAATCAATAGACATATGGTGGCTGAATGGATAAGAAAACAAGACCCTTACATATGCTGTCTACAAGAGACTCACTTCAGATCAAAAGACACACACAAACCAAAAGTAAAGGGATGAAAAAAGAGTTCACGAAAATGGAAACAAATAAATAAAAAAGCTGGGGTGGCCCAGCTGGTGTGGCTCAGTGGTTGGGCATCGACCTATGGATCAAGAGGTTGCTGGTTTGATTCTCGGTCAGGGCACATGCCCAGGTTTCTGGCTTGACCCCCAATGGGGGGCATGCAGGAGGCAGCCAATCGATGTTCTTTCTCATTGATGTTTCTCTCTCTCTCCCTTCCTCTAGAAATAAATTTTAAAAAAACCAAAAAAACAAGCTGGTGTTTACCAGATAAAACAATACTTATACCAGATAAAACAGCCTCTAAAATAATGGATATACAAGAGACAAAGGACCCAGCAATTCCACTTCTGGGTATTTATTTAAAGAAACTCCACTACCCCATCACCTTAACAACCCCCCCCCCCAACCAGCACCACCACCACCATCCCACCACCACCACCACCAAAAAAGAATAAAATAAATAAATAAACCAAAAATACTAAATTGAAAAAACATACATCCATGTTCATTGCAACATTATTTACAATAGTCAAGATATGGAAGCAACCTAAGTGAAGGTTGCTCTCTCTCTCCCTCTTGCTAAAAAATCAATTAAAAAACATACATTAAAAAAAAGGACAAATTGGTAGTTACAGAATAATCATGGGGATGTAAACTACAACATAGATACTATAGTCAATAATATTGTAATAACTGTGTATAGTGTCAGACGGGTACTAGATTTATCGAGGTGATCACTTAATAAGTTATATAAATATCTAATAACAGGGGTGGTGTTCACTTGAAACTAATATACAGTGGAACCTTGGTTCTTGAACTTAATTCATTCTGGAAGGCTGTTGAGAAGTGATTTGTTTGAAAACCAGGTCATTTTTTCCCATTAGGAAAATGTAAACTAAATTCATTCATTCCAGATCCCCAAATGATTCCGTTTTAACCTTTCTTATACACTGTTCATGTCTAATGTACTCTTTAGTCTACAAAGCCTTCTTTTCTTAAATTTACTGGACCACTGGCCTTACCCGAATGGCTTTCAGCACTCCTCGCAGGTGTCTTTCAGGTCAGCATGCGCAGCTTCGCTTTTTCACATACCATTGCCTCCGGAACGCTGCCACTAGCTACCTTTGTAAATCAACCATTTTTCTCCCTCCTCAATTGCCTGTGATCATTGTTTTGTGAGGATTTTCACATCCTTAGCAACATTAGCACTTAAAAAAATTTTTTTCTTCTTTATTGATTTTTAGAGAGAGAGGAAGGGAGAGGGAGAGAGAGATGGAAACATCAGTGAGAGAGAAGACTGATTGGCCGCCTCCTGCAGGCCCCTCACTGGGGACCTGGCCCACAACCTGGGCATGTGCCCTGACTGGGAATCAAACTGGTGACCTCCTGGTGCGTGGGTAGAGCTCAACCACTGAGCCACAGGGGGGGGGCAACATTAGCACTCTTGATGGCCTCTTTATATTTTATAATTGTGCTAGTTGTCCCTTTTGTCAGCAACAAAAGCAAAATAAAAACAAAACAACCCCGCTCCCCCAAATACATAAAAAAACACAAAAGATTCCTGAGATGTTAACAACAGGAGGTTTAGCGGTACAGTGACTCCTACTGGTGCATTCTCTCCTTTGTTTGTGGCCTGAGAGACACTTTTTGTCATGCTGATGATGTATCAGCAGGATTGTGCTGTCAGGTCCAGAACTGAAGTTTTGTTCAATAACTAAGACATTTTTCCCATGAACAACGTGGTCAAGAAACAAACTGTTCAAGATAGAAGTTCAAGAACCAAGGTTTGACTGCAATATTTTATGTCAATTGTAATTGAAACAATATTATTTAAAGAATAGTTAAAAAATAAACAAAGCAGACACACTGCTAACACACTCTAGTGAGTAGGGGAAAGAAAAAGTAAAGTTTCAGATTTCCTTTGAACTTCCCATCTTTGAACCAAATGTAAGAAGTACTATAGTCAAGAGTAGTTTTAAACACATTTTTTGGTGGTGGTAATGGTGGGGAAGCAAACTACTGAACAGAAGCACTGGAAAGCTGGCCCTGGTATAATGGGGCGACCTGCCCCACCCCTACACACCCCTAAAATAATGTATCCTGCGTGATGTCCATCTGTCATGGGTCTCTTTCCACCTTTTCTTCTCACAGTAACCTTTACTTGAGAGTTACCCTGACAGATTTTATTTTTACTGTACAATACTTTCTTTATAGCAAGGTAGAACAAGGAAGGGAAAGTATGAGAAGCCAGCCTCAATTAGCTTTTCCAACACTGACGGCACTGAAAATGAAATAGTTTTGTGAATACAAGCTCTGTGAGGGCATCCACTTGAGTTCCCTGCTGCATTTCCAGGGTCTCGAGCAGGCTGGTGCACCACAGGCACAGAATACATACTTACTGACAAAATACACTCTGTGCCAGGTGTTACTAGAAACGCATACGATATGAAACATGTTCTAAATACATCCTGCTTCTAATAAAGAAAGAAAGTACTCTCAAGTAGGTGTCACTTTTCATCACCAGGTATACCGAGCTTCTCTCACGTTTTATGACAGCTCAGATCTGCAAGCCAAACACTTCACCACGTTTCCCCAGGGAGAATGTAGTCTATGGTACAGAGCGCCAATAATTAAAGCCATCACCCAGTGATCTCTCACATCAAATTCTGAGGCCAAATCAACTCCTTTCCCCACGTGCCAGACACACGTTGGAGCGCCTGTCTCCCCACGGCCCGTCTCTGGGCACCACACTGACCCCACTGTCCTTTCGTTTCCCAGCCTAAAGCTTTCAGCAGGCCAAAGCAAGGACAGCATATATCAAAAACAAACACTTTTAGTGTTGACTTTGTATAAAGTAAATTAAACACCTTAATTTATCATACCTCTTCAAAAAAAGGAGGAGGGGGCGGGGAGAAGAAAACTAAACTATAACCTTTAAATAAACTCTTGGTTAGCTGTGGTTGTCTACAGATGTCCGTAGAGAGGTGGTTTTCAGCCAGGGAGATTCTACTCACCAGGGGACCTTTGGCAATGTCTGGAGATATTTTTGATTGTCACAACTGGGGTGTGTGTGTGTGTGTGTGTGCGCGCGCGCCCACTGCTGGTATCTAGTAGGTGGAGGATAGAGGCCAGGGATGCTGCTAAATGTCCTACAATGGGCAGGGAAGTCCCTACCACCAAGAATGATCTGGCTCAACACATCAAATAAAGTCAGGGCTGCGACACCCTGGCTTCAAGTGTTACTTATAAAACTAAAGCATTGTATCCTAGGCCTCCATTCGGCTGGTCAAGTACCGACAGGGTGGCTTTTACTACACAATCAGAGACATTTGTTAAGTGAAGGCCTGTGCTTCTTCACAAACCCGAAGCAGGAAAATTCAAATGAACACAGCAGTTATAAGGTGAATATTTACTTTTCAAACCGACTTCCCAAGGATTCTTTTAAAAGCTATTTACAAGCTTGGATCAAAACCTGTCCATTAAAAAGTCAAATTATTAAATTTTTAAGTAACATTTTTTTCCATTAGAAAAGATACATTTATAGATGCCAGAATATAATTTTTTCATAATAGCATCATATGAATAAAATCCTGACATTGCTATAAAAGAGCCGAGCTGAAATTCTAACACTTACAGTGGCACTGTGAGGGACTTATACTGCTATATTAAATTACCCACTCAATTCTACCATAAAACTAGACTGCAATGCCTGCAATTTCTTTAAATAGCCATGGCAGTACTTCTAGACTTGCTATTTTCCATATAACGAGGAGAAACGGTACCAGGTGGGGGAAAACCCAAACCCAATTATTAGCAGAAAGAATTCAATTGGAAAAAGTTAAATTTGAAGTAATTCTATTTAATACCTCAACCTCAGGATTAAATCCTCTGAATGACATTCTTCCATAGAGAAGATCTTCACATAACAAGAAACTCTGCTCTTCTATTATGAAACTCCTAAATGGGAAGATAAACCTGTATTAATAGTATGTCTACTCATAAACAAAGCACAGCAAATATAAGTCAAGATTTCAAATAAAAAACTGATCTTATAGTTCTCAGTAGAATCAAGCAAAAATACAGTATGATTTCTAACCTAAGGTTAGAAAAAAAAACTGGTTAATCTGTCCGGCAATCACATCAGGAGGTAAGAACTTACGGGCTGGAGGCATAGCCTCTTCTAAACTACATTTAATTTACATACATGTGCAATGTACAGACCTAAAGTATTTATAATAAACCTGAATTTTTCTTATTTGAAGCAAAATTTCCTTGATGTTTACCCTCTGCCTCCCAGTTCTTATTAAATACCCAGAAATCAGAGTCCTGGCAAGCTTTAAAAGAGGTTATTGGTCGAAACTCTTAGCTCTAAATAATGGTTGACCTTGGATGCCATAAGCAGAAAAGGAATTTATTGTAAAAATACTGAGAAAGCTGGATGAGAATTAGAAAATGGGAAGAAATAATGGTGGATAGGTTATTGACCGCAAACCAAAATCATACTACAAAACCACCCCAGTAAAAATGCTGCTGCTGAAAGGGCTAAATAGTACTGGACACCACAGAGGACATCAGGCAGGCCACTGTTGCCCTAGAAACAGGATGCAGGTGTGGATGTTTCGGTCTCCAAAACAGATTCTCCCGAATCACCAGTTCATGATCCCGACCCCAGGTGAGCATGTCTGGATGTAGTTCTGCTACCAAAGCAAATACTGGCCTTTATGGCTTCTTTGGTGTAAAGTCAGCCCTGCTTCTTGTCAAGATTCACTCATTCATTCACTCACTCAGCAAACACTTTCTAAACCGAATTGTGTGTCGGACAGCTCTAGAAGCTGGGGAGGGAGGCATGAATAAGAGAGCCTCTGGTCTCATGAAGGTTACTTTCTAATGGTGCCAGATAATAAATAAAAGATTTACATTATACAGTGGATAAAAGAGAAGCAGGTTTTTCCACTTCAGGACACAAAGGAGTAACTGGTACCTAACTAGCCCTCCTACAGCAGCCAACTATAAAATGGGACAAAACAGGAAACAGTCAATAAGTCAAAGCACAGGGACGTGAAGCCTGAGAGAAGAAAACCAAATCAAGTGAGCTCCATGAATGCCCACCTTCTGATTGGAGGCAATTTGTAGACTGCGGAACAGGGAGCGGAAGCTTAAAGGGCACCCGGTCTCACTGCAGGACAAACTGAAGTCTGGGTCCTAGATGGCTGAAATATATGGGTCAAGATACCTGAGCAAGGAAAACACACATAGAAATCCAGGGCCTGCATACTGGGTCCCCTTGAATCTCTGGCTTAATAGTAGGCTGTACACATGAGGGGGGAGTCCACAGTGTCAAGGGAAAATAATGATTTCCAGAACAATTATCTGTGCATTAGTTTCCTAGGGCTGCTGTTTAACAAATTAATTGGGGAGTTAAAGCAACAGGAATTTATGCTCTTATAATTCTGGAAGTCTGAAATCAGTTTCACTGGACCAAAACCAAGGTGTCAGCAGGGCTGCCCTCCCTCTAGAGCAGTGGTTCTCAACCTTCTTAATGCCGCGACCCCTTAATACAGTTGCTTATGTTGTGGTGACCCCCAACCATAAAATTATTTTCGTTGCTACTTCATAACTGTAATTTTGCTACTGTTATGAATCACTATCAGAAATATGTGTTTTCCGATGGTCTTAGGCGACCTTGTAAAAGGGTCGTTCAGCCCCTAAGGGGGTCGCGACCCACAGGTTGAGAACCGCTGCTCCAGAGGGAGGGAGGGAAGAACTCATTCCTTGCCTGTCCTGCTTCTTTGGCAGCCAGCATTCATTGGCTTGTGACTGCATCACTCCAGTCTCCTTTCTGTGCATGAAATCTGTCTGCCTCCCTTTTATAAGGATATAATTACCTAGATAATCCAGAATAATCTCCCCCTCTACAGATCTTTTTTTTTTTTTGGTACGTGCCCCTAGCGGGAACCGAACCCGGGACCCTCTGGTCTGCAGGCTGACGCTCCAATTGCTGAGCCAAACCAGCCAGGGCCCCTCTACAGATCTTTCACTTAATCACACTAATAGTCAATTTAGGGATATAAGGCAACACAGTTCCAGTAATGAAGGCCTGGATATTATTTGGGGGGTCATTACCCAGTTCACCACACCTGGAAAAGAAAATTTACCCTGGAATTGCATGGTGAACAAATACAAGACTTTGCCCAGAGGAGGGAAATGTTTGACTTGTATACTGATGTCTGCTACTTACTGTGAAACATATCAAAAATAAAATGAACTGACAGATGTACAGAGGAGTGAAAAAATATGTAATGCATGTTAGAAAAAAACACAAAACCACCTCTTTTTAAAAAATGGATGAAAGATTTATATAGGTACTTCAAAAGGTAGATATGGAAATGGCCAATAAGCATATAAGCGTTCTTTAACATTATTAATCACCAGGAAAATGCAAATTAAAAACCATGAGACACCAGCAGCATGCTAAAGCAGATTAAAATACAAAAGATAACACCAAATATTGGAAGAGTGTGAAACAGCTAGAACTCTTATACTACCTTAGTGAAAGTGTAAAATGGTACAATCACTTTGGGGAATGGATTGAAAGCTTCTCCTATGTTAAATATATGCCAACCTTGTGATCTAGCAATTCCACCTTTACCCAAGAGACAAAAAAACAGAATTCTATCCAATTCATCCAAATTCTTTTTATCCAAAAAATTTGTCTTTGGTTACTTTATGAGGTGTGGTCTGGGTAGGCCTCCTCTTGGATGGGGTGATATTGGAGCCAAGTCCAGAAGACAGTGAGGAACAAGATATGAGGACACCTGGGGGAAAAATACCCGACGGACTAGTTAAAAGTCAAGGCCCTGAGAGGATGTGAGTGTCCCGCCTGAGAAACAGGAAGGAAGCCTCTATGACGCGAAAGGAGTGAGAGAAGGTAAAAATGGAAGGAGGTCAAAATCATTTCCCTGAGAACACGAAGATGTCATTTGTCTTTTTCACTGAATTTGCAGTGTGTGCAAAAACAATTGTGGGTAAAATCACATCTTATTATGAATTAAAGTAGTGATACCAGACTGTACTAGCAGACATTACATTGTTCACCCCCAGCTTTCACAGTTAAAAAAATTTAAAAAGCCAGTAATTATGTCCTAGACGAAGCACTAAAAATTCATTGCTATTGATCTCAGCCTTTTATTACACTTTTAAAAAATCTTCTCTATACAAAATGGGAAGCATATATAAGGTACTTCTGGCTAGTGAAGTATGCCTGTCTTGAGAAAATGCAGTTGTGTGACTGAGTTCTGAGTGAACTAGCGACTTTTTTTGGTACACTGTGACTGTGGTTATTCAGACTTGGGTACTTAGCAGACATTTTCTTGAAAATAAATAAAGTAAATGTGTCCCTTTGGGGAAACAACTGATAATACTTATTGTAAAAAACAAAACTCAAGCTTTCAAGCAAAAATTAGAATTTTGAATACCTTGTATATTTCATTTTGGTCTTAACAGCTTCCCAATACTTAGACTTTTCTGATGAAACCCATGATGATATTAATGAATGTCATTTTTGATACTGTACAATGAAATGAGTTATTTGGTAAATCTATATAACTCATTACACTAATATATTCCAAATGAGAAATGCATGATGTTACGAAATTAAGCGTTAACAAAAGATCGATTCAAAATGTAAGATAGACCAATGATTATAAAAGATTCAAAGATGTTTCCAGATTCCACACTGCAGTTAACCTTTTTTTTTTATTCATTTATTTTTTTTAATCCTCATCCAAGGACATTTTTCCATTTTTTGTTCAGATAGAGTGGGAGGGAGAGAGAGGAAGAGAGAGAGAAACATTGACGTGAAAGGGACACATCGAGTGGCTGCCTCACGCACGATCCAACCAGGGCCGGGGACAAACTACAACCGAGGTACGTGCCCTTAATGGGACCTGAACCCGGGTCTCTCTGGACTGCAGGCTGATGCTGCAACCGCTGAGCCAAACCGGCCAGGGTTGCAGTTAACTTTTAAGAAACTACTACTTACTAAGTTTTGGAGTAGTATCAAAGAATTATCTGAAAAGCTGTTACAACATCCCTCCCTTTATGACCACATCATCTGGGTGAGGGTGGACTTTCTTTCTATATTTCAACCAAAACAACATACTACAACAGGCTAAACGCAAGAGTTAAAAGAATCCAGCTGTTTTCTATCATGCCAGACATTAAGGAGAATTGCAAAAATTTTTTTTAAAAAGCCACTTTTCTAATATTTTTTTTTGTCTTGGAAAAGTTATTTTTCATGCAAAATGTATTATTTATGCTAACATGTAATGCATTTGTTTCTTAAATGAATATTTAAAAAATGTTTTAATTTCTTATATACATATCAACATGATGTAAACCACACAATGAAAAACTCTTTATGGGTTCTAAATAATTTTTTAAAAATATGAATAGTCCTTGAGCCCAAAACATTGAGAACCACTGTTCTCTAGACTTTTCTCACTGGCCCTCTGGCCCAATCATCACCTCACTTCCTGCAGGACCATTTCACTCTGAGGGAAGCTAAGTGCAGGCACACATTCTCCTGGTCTTGGACTTCCAGCCTCTAACACTATGGAAAATAAATTTCTGTTGTGTATAAGCTACCCAATCTGTGGTATGTTGTTACAGTAGCTCAAATGAACTGAGACATTTCCCTCCTAAGAAAGAAATCTAAAGGTCTTTTTTCTGGGAATAGTATACTGTGTTGGGGGTGGGGGATACTGAAAACAGGATGGAAATTATCCTGCCCTTCAATAAAAGTAAGTAACAAAATATCTGGGAGCCCTGGCCGGTTTGGCTCAGAGGTTGGAGCGTTGGCCTGGGGACCAGAGTCCTGGGTTCGGTTTCCGCTAGGAGCATGTACCAAAAAAAAAAAAAAATCTGGGATACTTTGTGCAAATTTAGTCAAGGCACAAAATTAAATTATAGCTCCTTATCACTATATGGTCTCTTATACCCGCTGCTTCCAAATCCATACCATCTCTAGCATTATCCTCCCCTTCCTCATTAACATCTTCCTTCCTCTGAGAATCAGTGAAGAAAAGCAAGTACACAGAGGAACAAGCAGAGAAAACAGAGTACCTTCCTCCCATCTCTCCTGGTGGGACATACTTTCTGTCTTTAGAGATGGGTATCGAACCCACCAAAAAAGATGCAGAGAAGATCAGCCAAATGAACAAGGAGTATAACATGTTAAAAAAAAACTATAAGGTACAGAAAAGAAAAGCATAAACATGTGTGAAGATAATAAACAGCATCTTCAGTCCCTTGACAACGTTTAAGTAAAACCACCTTAGCACAGAGCTTACTAAGGTAAGAAAAGCATCCAGGAGAGATGATAAGTAGCTTCCAGAAGAATTGACATACATTAATGAATAATGTGGATCCATCAATCCTTCATTCAGAATTACTGATCAAGCACCAAACAAGCATACAGTGAAAGAGAAATGGTCTAGTGCATTATCTTAACTTTAGCAATGACTAGCTGGGTGAGTCTGAGCAACTTATTTTCTCTTAAGCTTCAGTTTCCTCAATTACGAAATGGATAAAAGATAGTAGTCAGCTTTCAAGTTTGCTGTGAGGATTAAATAATTAAGAGATGTAAGTGCTTAGCCCAGTTCCTAGCACACACTACAGACTCAATAAATGGGTATTAATAGTAAAAATTTTTTAAAAAGGAAAGAAACGAACAAAAATCTCTTGATCTGCCTTGAAGAAGCTCAGTCTAATAAAGAATTCTGTTCAACTGAAATAGAACTGGAGAGCCCTGAAGTACACACCTAATCTTTGGAACTTAATATGTAGAAAGTACATTACAGCTTCATAAAAGGTCCCTAGTCACTACCGGAGATATGGGCCAGATTCCTTTACGCAATACAAAAAAACCCACAATTTTATATATGACAACCGAAGGCCAGTAAAAATGTGTAAGTTCAAGTAGACCTTTTAAAGGTTTAACAATTTTAGAAAATTACCTCTAAGGCTAATTCAATAAACGGAATAGATGCTATTTCATGGGTTTATGTCACTGGAATGATGAGTTACATTTACAGAAATTTCTCTCCGAATGCCCAAAGTGTCATTAACATAATTTCTAACAAAGCTTACTCTTTCTCTTTAAGCTCTGGCAAATCCAAGTACCAGTGCTCTTCACTAATGATTTTCTTTTCTTCTTCTTCTAGTTGTTTCTTGGTTTCCGAGTCCAGTCCCCTTTGCATAAACTGTCAAAACAAAACAAAATCAGTGACAGCAACTAATTTCCCCGACTTAGAGTTAAAAAAACAACGACCTCAAAAAACTTTATTCTTTCACTTGCTCTTCCCCATTTCTCCAGGAAGGACATGTCGAGATTGAGGACTCGATAAATGTAGATGGAAGCAAAGCTACATCTGTAAGCCTGCTCTTCACTCGTATCTATCTTCTGATCAACTCTACGGCTGCTCTTTATTCTAAAATTGGCAGAAGCCCAACCCGTAACAGGCCAGCAGAGAAAACAGCAGCCTGCTGCTAGTCTTTCCCTAGCACAAACAATAGCTCTATTTCCAGGGGCCAAGCAAACAAATCAAGAAGTTAATCAGAGCAAAATGATAAAGTATCAATAATGAAAAAATAAATTCAGAAACCACCCAACAGTTAGGTCTAGGATTCCACTGGTTTCCATTTACCCCTATTTCTTTCTCTTATCCAGGCTCCACATTGCTTTTCCCTCCACCCAGCTCTTGCAAAAACATAGAACATCTTAGGCATAAAGGGCTTTACCAAACACTACTAAATGAAATTACTTGAAAAACGTTCACAAACAAAATTTAGGGATAACAGCAAGTTCTGATGAGGATGTGAGGAAACTGGATCGCCTCTGTGGAACAGCTAGACAGTTTCTTACCCCACAATCATTAACTTACCACATGATCCAGCAATTGTCTTCTTGGGCATTTATTCCAGAGAAATGAAAACTTACTCAAAAACTTATACATGAATAATTAGAGCAGTTCTATTTGTAATAGCCAAAAACTATAGCTCTGGCCAGTTTGGCTCAGCGGTTAGAGCGTCAGCCTGTGGATCAGAGAGTCCTGGGTCTGGTTCCTGCTAAGGGCACGTACCTTGGTTGCAGTTTGTCCCCCACCCCGGTTGGGGTTGTGTGGGTGGCAACCAGTCGATGTGTCTCTCTCACATTGATGTCTCTCTCTCTCTCTCTCTCCCTCCCTCCCTTCCCCCCTCTCCCTCCCTTCCCCCTCTCTCCCTCCCGCTCTATCTGAAGATAAATGCAAAAATATTCTCAGGTGAGGATAAAAAGTAAATAAAAAACAGCCAAAAACTATAAACAATCAAAATACTCTTCAACAAGTAAATGGCTAAAATAAACCATAGTACATCTACAGAATGGAATACTACTCAGCAATAAAAAAGAACTATTTATTTACTCAACAACTTAAACAGATCGCAAATGAAAAAAGCCGATCTCAAAGGTTATATATTATATGACTCCATTTGTATAACATCCTTGAAATAACACCATTACAAAAATGAGTAACAGATTAGTGGTGGCCCGGGGTTAGGGATGACACAAAAGAGTGGGTATCCCCACAGAGGATAACAGCAAGTTCTGATGAAGATGTGAGGAAAATGGATCGCCTAGAGCTAGAGGGAACCTTGTGGTGATGGAACAGCTTTGTGTCTTGAATGTAATAGTTAGATAAATCTACGTGCAAAAAATGGTACAGAAAATTCACACACACAAACACAGGAAGGAGTACAAGTAAAATGGTGAAATCTGGGTAAGCTCTGTGGATTGTTCCACTGTCGGTTTCCCCGCTTTGCAGTTTGTTCATCTGTCCTCATCCTTTTAGCTGTGCCTATATCCTTCTCACAGGAAAGAACCGGAACTTTCTGGAAAGCATACCCTGTTCTTCCCCGTTCTTCTGCCTCTGCTATTCAACATTATGCTTCTATTTTCTGCCTGACACAGTAGTCACTCGTGAAGGCCCACAGCATGTGTCCTTTGATAAACCTTCCTTGCTTCTACAACAGCTTTATAAACACTGGCTTATTGTTCATTATGCTTCTTCTGTGTCTTCCAAAAGACTAAGATTGTGAATGTACTTAATGTCCCTTGTTCATCTTATATTACTGGTACTTAGGCTGTCTGGTACACAGAAAAAAGTTCAATAAAGTTTCTCTGAATGTAACTGATTCTAGACTTATCTTATTTTTCCAGATTTCCTTTCTTGGATGGTTCTCTTTAAATCTAGATGTCTCATTTCATAACTCATATTCCTTGTGGTAAAACTCATCAATCCTGTCCAATTGCCCTTTTATCTCCCTTTTTAAAAAATTCCTTACTCGAGGATATTTTTCCATTTATCTTCAGATGGGGGGCAGGGGCGGGGGCAGGGAGAGAGCGCGAGAGAGAAACATTGATGTGCTGTCTCCTGCATGACCCCGACCAGGGACCAAACTGCAACCAAGGTATGTGCCCTTGACCATAATCAAACCTGTGACTCTTTGGTCTGCAGGCCAAGGCTCTAACTGCTGAGCCAAATTGGCCAGGGCTTATCTCTTTTTTTAAAAGTAGATATTCTTCATGGCATAAGAAACATATTCAAATGTACCAAAATATATATATGCACACACATACACATATACATATGAAAATATAGAAAACCCGGTGACTATGAATAAAGCAACTCCAGACTTAGGTAGCAGTTCAATTATTTCTCCACAGCACGTAAGAACATACTCTAAAGCTAGTGATTTAGTTCTATTCAGAATTGAGGGCCGAGAGCAGGTATCACAAAAGATACTCCTTAGGCTAGACTTCTGTTGCTGTAAATAAAGATTTACTAGAACCACACCCATTTGGCTCTGAGGTACAATGGCCATGTTCAGTAGACAGACTGGCCCACAAACCTCAAGTATTTACGTATCCCTTTACAGAAAAAGTTCACCAACTCCTGTCTTAAAAGTCCAATAGAGCTAAAAGTACAAATAAGCACCCTCTTTTCAACAATTCCATCATACTGACAGACCTTCCATCTATATCCTTCACTTTCTACTTTCCATCAGGATCAATCTCCAGCCCCCAATAGCTGAGCCAAGCCAGGGGACGCCAAGTACACTGGAAAACAAATGAGTCCATATTAAATCCTCAACCGTCATTCTTGCTCTATACTTAGCTCTGGATGAGCAGCTACACTGAATACAATAACCTCAGGCAGCTGCTCCATTCCTTCTCATATGACACTCTACTCTATCTGTATATATAGTGTCTCCTGCTATCCTGCCAATGAGTTCTTTCTTATCAATGACGTAAGTTGTCAACCCAAATAGAAATCCTGGTTACTTTTTCTCCTCTCTTTTGCATCCAATGTCTAACTGAGTCTTTCAACCATTTGGGCAAAGAGTAAATAATTTTTTTTTTTTTAACCACTGAGACACTGGCTCAGTGGTTGAGCGTCGACCCATGCACCAAGAGGTCACCGGTTTAATTCCCGGTCAGGGCATATGCCCTGGTTATGGGCCAGGTCCCCAGTGAGGGGCATGCAGGAGGCAGTCAATCTATGTTCTCTCTCCTCCATGTTTCTATCTCTCTCTCTCCCTCTTCTTTTCTCTCTCTAAAAATCAATAAAGAAAAAAAAAAAAGATAAAGTTAATTTCTTCATTCCTAACTTCCAAGTCAGATCTTTAGTCTGGGCCCTAATCACCCAGCACATCTTCATTTAATTTATTCCAAGAGTTAAACAACTTCTAAAATCTTTTCAGTGCTTGTTTTGTCAATCTACTCCACTTCTTTAAAATCTATGTGATTACACACCAGAAGCCGAGAAAACTCTGTTTAGGAAAGATTCAGATTTTGCTAATATGCATGAAAGAAGTAGTTTATAAACTATAAATTATGCTATGATTTACCCTCCACTTTCACTCACCCTATTCTTCACTGGTTACACCCAAGCTCAACTCAATTCACATTTTGCACATGCAATATTTACTCTTCAATCTTTCAGAACATTATTTACACCTTGCTTCCTCTTCCTGAAAATTGCACAATTCTCTAAACATAACATCTAATAAGTTCACATCTATAATTGTTCAGCAACCAGTAATTAAGAGCAAAGGGGCTCTGAAGCCAGACTTCCTGAATTTGAATCTTGTCTACATTTCTAACTACCAGTAAGTAACTTTGGGCAAGTACTTACTTCTCTGTTTCAGTTGCTTCTCTGTAACTGTACCTACCTCAAGGGATTATGTGGATTTCTTGGGTTGATACATGCAAAGCACTTAGTACAGTGTCTGACATATAGCAAGAACTATAAATGTTATGCTATTATTTTTATTATTTAAGCTTTAAAGATTGGTTGTTTCCCCTGTTTTAATTCCTGTATGCATGTTAACTACCCTTGTTTTTTCCTCACTTTGATATTATTTGATTAAATTTGAAATACAATAATCAATTTTGCTTGACATAACTCACTTTAAAAAATTTTTTTACTAATTATTTAGAAAGAGAGGAAGGGAGAGAGAAACATCCATGTGAGAGAGAAACATTGATGGGCTGTCGCACGCGGGATCAAGCTTGAAACCCCGACTTGTGCCCTGACCAGGAATCCGGACCTCAGTCCATGGGAAGGTGATCAATACACTGAGCCACACTGGGCCTTGTTTAGAAAGACAGGAAGGGAGAGGGAGAGAGAGATGGGAACACCGATGATGTCACTGATTGCCCACCTCCTGCAAGCCCCCCGCTGGGACTGGGCCCACAACATGGGCACATGCCCTGCCCAGAACTGTTTTAATTCCATCACACCACAACACTCACCCAGATCAGAACTTATGTCTGCAATTCTGTCCCCTCCTGGGTCTTTCTTTCACTAAGTGTTCCCCTCAGGACAGAGAAAGGGGGACATCCCCGTGCTCAACAGCTTCCCAATGCTCATATGATCAAGGAAAACATTCTTAACTTGGCCTAAACTTCCCCGCTGTGACCTGCCTATTTCAGGCCTACTTCTTGCTCCTTTCCTTCCAGACACCCTGAATCATCTTTAGTTCTTCCAACTCGGCACCGAATTTCTGGTGTTTGCTTTTCAGACTTCTGAACAATCTCTCCCCTCAGTCGATGGTGCCCCCACCCTCCCACGCACCCTTCATTCTCTACTTAAGCAGAGGCCCAAGTAAGTTCCCGGCGCCCGGCGCTACTGGCAGCACCTCGCTTAGCACGCTGTACCCCAACTGCTTGTTTAGGTCTCTGTTTCCTCTATTCGACCGAATCCGCGGGATTTCTAACCCAGTTCCCACTGCCTAAGGTACAACAGGCGCTAAGTGAATGAATGAACGCGAGAGCTGGAGGCCCTCTGGGACCCCCGCAGGCCCGTCGCCTCGGCCTGGGCCAGGCCAGGAGGACCCAGTGGCCCTGCCCTCCCATCCAGGATCCCCAGCACCCCGCACCTTCATGCGCAGCAAATTCTTGGACAACTTAGTCTTGCGCTCGGCCGCCATGCTGGCTCCCGCCCGGTCCCGTTGTCCTACACAAGCCCCACCGCGCACGCGCGCCGCTACGTACACAGGGGCGGGGTCTTACGTAAGGCGTCTCCCCGCCCAGGGCCCCGCCCGCGTCTCGCGCCTGAACAGCCCGGAGCTATTCGCGCGCCGCCTCGGGGAGCGCTTACCCTTCCAGGGAGCTCAGGGTAGGGGCGCGGCCGCCGGTGCAGGGAGGGAGGCTCCTCACCGCGGGAGGGAGCCCCAAAGAGGCCGAAGCCGGAGGAGGCCCGAGCTCTGGTTCCTCGCGAGCTTCAGCCGGGCCCCCAGGCCGCCCCGCGGACCCCGTCCCGCCGCGCGTTGCCGACTCAGTTGCCCTGGTGGGACCTTTGAGGAGGTTGCCACACCATCCCCCCTGGGCCGTCTCTGTCACATGTTTCTAACACGGAGGGTGGGCTTCCTGTGTTCTGCATCGCTTTACCTGTACTAGTTCATTTTATATTCGGGACGCCCCTTGGGGTGGTACTGCCCTGGTCCCCGCGTTGCGTTTGAGTAAATAAGGTACCAAGAGGTTCCTTAACTAGCCCGGGTCAGACTCAGGGAGGTGGGTATAAACCCAGGCAGTCTGGCTTCAGAAATACAATAGGAAACAATGTTCAGTTCACGAATTAACTGTTGTGTTTTTGTGTCTTTGAACCTGAACCATCTTTCCGTTAGGAAGAATCGTAAGAGACAGTGAAGACATACGAGGAAGGATAACGACCTATTGTAACATAAAGAATTGAAATGGCAGTACCACCTAAAGTCATTTTTCACGCCAGTCACAGGCTCCCCAGTTTGGGAAACATCCAAACCAGTGGCATTTAAGTTGATAGCGTGCACTCTGTGCCAAATTCTTGTGCGGGTACCATACATGTCTTATTTAATCTTCATAAGAACTCTGAAGAAGGTGTTGTTGTCATATAGGTAGGGAACCCGAGGCTCACAGAGGTGAAGGGAGTTGCCAGAGATCTCACAGTAAATGTTTGAGCTGAGATTCAGAAAGCATCATAAAAATGTGGCCCCATCCTGGGCAGGTTTTCTCAGTGGATTAAATAAAGTCATTACAATGTAGTAAGTGGTTATAGAAACTCATTCGTTCATAACTGTGTGAGACACTGGGCTACAATAGTTTGGAAAAACACATAGCCTCCTTTTCCTGGAGCTGACATTCTGGTGAGTGCCACGGAAGAAGGAAAATCATGTGATAGAGGGCTTTGGGATTACTTTAAATAAAGTGGTCTCATCAGATAATAGTCCTAAAAGGCTTGAAAGTTGAGAAAAACCTATTGTATGAAGAATTGGAGGTAGGTAGACTTCCGGTCAAGACGGCTGCGTAGGCTACTCTCTTCTTAGAGGTAGTCCGGCAGGCTCATTCCCAGTAAACCTGCACTTCTGGAGACCCTGCACCACCTCCTTCTTACACAAACTGGGAGCTATTTTACACACATAGATAACCCTGACAAAGGATTAGAAGGATTAGAATTCAGAAAATATAAATAATTTCTACAAATAAGTAAGAAATATCTATAGCTCATGAGAAAAATGGGGTAAAGGTGTTGGGGGTTTTGGACTTAAAGGGACAATAAATTGTAGGGTAGTGACTAGGAAATATGTGGGGGAAATTGTTAATGGTGAATAGCACCAGATGTTAGGCTTTGGTTCTTGAGTTTGGCAAGAAAGGATTCAGAGCCAAGAACTCGTATATAAGGAAACGTTTATTTAGAAGGTCGTGGAGGTAGAAGAAGTGAGCCAGCTGGGCTGTGTGAATTTAGGAAACACGTTACAGACGCAAAAGAAGGGTCTTTGGAGCTTAGGAAAAAGAAAGCAAAGGTATACGCCCGTGAGGGAAGAAAGGGGGGATAAAAGGTGCCGGTGTGCTGGGGCGGGGGAGAGAAAGGGAGGGGAGGGGAAAAAAACACAAAACAATAAAAAAAAAAAAAAAAAAGAAGGCTGCGTAGGTAAACACAGTCCTCGCCTCCTCCCACAACCACATCAAAATTACAACTAAACTACAGAACAACCATCATTCAGAACTGTCTGCAATCAAGCTGAATGAAAGTCCTAGAACTACGAAATTAAAGAAGCAGCCACATCAAGATGAGTAGGAAGGACGGAGGCTTAGATGGGCTAGTCCCACACCCACGTGTGGTGGATAAAAATCAGGAGGCTACCTCAGCTGGGAAGGTCCTCCCTGAGGAGTGAGGGGTCCTCGTCCCACACCAGGCACCCAGCTCAGGGTTCCAGTGCCAGGAAGAGAAGTCCCCATAATGTCTGGTTGTAAAAACCAGCAGGAACTAAGGCTGCTGGAGCCCTAATCTGTTCCTCTCAAAGGGCCCTCGCACAGACTTACTCAGACTTGCACCCTCCAGGCTCCAGCGTGAAGGAAGCAGCTGGAAAGGCACCAGAGATGTATTGGGAAGAACTGAGTTTTTGGCATTGGGGCAAGAACTGGAGGGGCAGCTTTCTCCTGGACAGACTAGCTGTCAGAGGCCGGTGATCCTTTGGTGAGCCCTTCACCTGGGAGGCAAAGCGCCCCTATATCTGGGATTCCAGCAACCTGGCTCACACTGTTTGCCCTGCCCTGGTGATTCCCCTAGGCCCTACCCCACCCAACTTTTGGGCCCACCCAAGCTGTTTCCTGCAGCTTTACCATAGAATTGGCTGTTTTGGATCCTGCTTCAGATAATCCTAACATCTCAAACAAGTAGCATCTGGTCTTATCGAACCCCATACCTCACGTTAAGTGGCCCCAGGCCTGGCATTAGAAGCAGCCAGCCTTGGTTCACAACTTGGCTTTTCCTAGGCACCTCCAAGCCCAGCACAAGAAGCAGACATCAGCAGTTCACTTTGTATCTTATGCTGGGTGGTCCTGGGTAAAACAGGCAGTGGCTGACCTTGCCCCAGAGCTAGCACATCCAGTGGACAGCTTCAGACCACATCAAAACACCACCACCCAACCACCTCCACAAGTGACACACTCAATGAGTGGACTCAATGGGTACCAGAACCCTGCTGAAGTAAGTCTTGCTCTGTGTGGTGGATCCCTGCACAGCTGATTTCCAAGGTAGCCAGTGGTCAGTGGGCCTAGCCAGTCCTTGCAGCTGATCAGCTTGAGTAAATACCTCCCATTGATGTACCAACAGTAATCAAGGCTCAATTACAACAGAAGGGTGTACAGTCCACACAAGGGGTGCACCTCAAGGGCCCAGCTGGGGTGATCAGGGAGGCTGTGCCACTGGACCCTACAGGACATGTAATGCAATAGGCCACCATACCAAGCTTAGGAGACATAGCAATTCTACCTAATCCATAGAAACAAACACAGGGAAGCAGCTAAAATTAGGAGACAAAGAAACATGTCCCAAATGAAAAAAAAGAATAGAACTCCAGGAAAAGAACTAAATAAAATGGAGATAAACAATCAATCAGCTGCAGAGATCAAAACACTGGTTATAAGGATGCTCAAGGACCTTAGTGAGAACTTCAAGGAACTTAGAACATGAACAACATAAAAAAGAACCAGTCAGAAATGAAGGATGCACTAACTGAAATAAAGAATAATTTACAGAGAATCAATGGTAGAGTAGGTAAAGTCAAGAAGCAAACCATCAATTTGGAATATAAGGAAGCAAAAATACCCAATCAGAATAGCAAAAAGAAAAAAGAATCAAAAAAAAAAAAAAATGAGGATAGTGTAAGGACACTATCTGGGACAACTTCAAGGGTGCCAACATTCGCATCTTGGGGGTGCCAGAAGAAGAAGAGAGAGAACAAGAAATTGAAAACCTATTTGAAAAAATAATGGCAGAAAACTTCCCTAACTTGGTGAAAGAAACAGACATACAAGTCCAGGAAGCACAGAGAGTCCCAAACAAGATGAACCCCAAGAGGTCCACACCAAGACACATCATTATCAAAATGCCAAAGGTTTAAGACAAAGAGAGCATATTAGAAGCAGCAAGAGAAAAGCAGTGTGTTACCTACAAAGGAGCTCCCATAAGACTGTCAGTTGATTTCTCAAAAGAAACTTTGCAGGCCAGAAGGGAGTGGCAAGAAATATTTAAAGTGATAAAAAGCAATGACCTACAACCAAGATCACTCTATTTTGCAAAGCTATCATTTAGAATCGATGGACATATAAAGTGTTTCCCAGACAAGAAGAGGCTAAAGGAGTTTATCACCACCAAACCAGTATTATATGAAACTTTGAAGGGTTTTCTTAAAGGAGAAGAACAAAAATATGAACAATAAAATGGCAGTTAATACATATCTATCAACAATTGTATCTACAAACAAAATGAGCAAGCAGAACAGAAACAGACTCATAGATACAGAGAATATTTTGTTGCTTGCCAGATGGGAAGGCGCTGTGGGGATGGGTGAAAAAGATGAAGGAATTAAGAAGTATAAATTGGTTGTTAGTGAAAGGGAAGGAGGGAGGGAAGACGGGAAGAGACAAACCAAAGAACTTCTACGCATATATGCATAACTAATGAACACAGACAATAGTGTGGGGAAGGCAGGAAGGGGGCAGGAATGGGAAGGAGTGGGTCAATGGGGGAAAAAAGGGGGGACATCTGAAATACATTCAACAATAAAGATAAGTTAAAAAAATAAAAATAGCCCTGGCCGGTTTGGCTCAGCGGTTAGAGCGTCGGCCTGTGGTCCAGAGAGACCTGGGTTCGGTTCCCGCTAAGAGCACGTACCTTGGTTGCAGTTTGTCCCCGGCCCTGGTTGGGTCGTGGGTGGCAACTACTGGATGTGTCCTTTTCACATTGATGTTTCTCTCTCTCTCCCTCCCACTCTATCTGAACAAAAAAATGGAAAAAAATGTCCTCGGGTGAGGAAAAAAAATAAAAATAAATAAAAATAAAATAAAACACACACATACACACACAAAGAATAATTGATGGCAGACTATTCTAAAAAGAGGGAAGAGCAATTGTAAAGGTCCTGAAATGAGAACAAGTGTTGTCGTAGAGTTTACCAAGTAGGAACAACCGGGGTAATCATGGAGTTT